AAGACAAAGTGACGCGGTTCTACGGGCGGATGTCAAGGTCACCATAGACAGAACATGATAGCAACGAGAATGTTTTGAGGAAAAAGTTAAATTCAAATGACACTTGTAATTAAAAACAGGAAGAACGTTACTCGAGCACATAGTGAGGAAAGATTGCGCGGAGAAGTTGACACCCACAGGACAAAGTAAGGAGAGGCAGTGTGAATCAGTAAGTAACGAGTTTGTGTGAATTGATGGCAGAGAGAGGACAAATAGAGGCGGTAAAGAGTAAAACGTTGCTTAGAGCTATAAGTTACAGGATGGTGTGGGGAGCCATGATCGCCGATATCCTGAAAAGAATTATGAACATAAAAGAATATATGTATATATATATATATCCCCCTTCAGACCGAAAACATCAGGAAGTCTCCTTCCTGACAAATCGCTCATGGTGAGATTCGAACTCGGGTCTCATGATCAGAAAGCGAACGTTTTATATATATATATATGTCATTCGCAGACAGTAATGTTTCGCTGTATCACAGCCCCATCAGTGCGACAAGACTACCGAATGTCTCAAGCCAGGATTGAAACATATATATATATATATATATATATATATATATATATATATATATATATATATATATATATATATATATATATATATATATATATATAAATTAAATATTCGTACACATACAAATTTTAATTTATTTTATTTCCAATTATGAATAAACGTACTTTTCATATAATTAACTGTACACAGATGCATAATAACTAAACATGCATAGGAAACAAAAAACTATTTTAATGTAATAGAAATAAATCCCATTTATCCATTTTAATAGGTGTAAAAAGTATTCGTACAATGCAAAAAGAATACATAATCTTCATTTAATACTTTGTAGAATAGCTATTATTCACTTCTACAGCAACCAAACTCTTCTTGTAGTTCTCAATTATTGATTTGCAAATTTTACTTGATATTTTGTTCCATTCTTCTTCGCAAATTGTCTTCAGATCCGGGATATTTGTTCGAGCCTTCGATTGGATTTGAATTTTCAAATAACGCCAAAGATTCTCGATTGGGTTTAAATCTGGGGACTCACTTGGCTATTTCAGGATATTTAGATTATTTACAGCAAACTATTTCTTCGTAGATTTTGCCGTGTGCTTAGAATCATTATCTTGTTGGAAGATCCATTCAGGAGGAAGTTTAAGATTTTCAACTGAAATCATTAAATTTGCTTCCAAAATATTTTAATATGCTGCGGCATTCATTCTACCATCTTTTACTGATACATTGCCAGTACCTTTTGCAGAAAAAACAAAATCCCCAAACCATGGTGCTGCCACCATCAAATTTCACTGTTGGGACTGTGTTCTTTTGTTTGAAGCCATTGCCACATTTCCTCCATACATGATTTCTAGAATTACCTCCAAACATCTCAATTTTGTTTCCATCTGTTCATAATAGACTTTTTCAATACGATTTTTCCTTATCCTTATGTTCAGGAACGAGTTTCAACTTGTCATCTCTGTGTCTTTTCAATAGCAGTGGAGTTTTCCGAGGGGAGCGTGACTAGATTGTTCCTATGAATTTAATTGCTTATTGTCTGTTTAGTGACACAGATTCCTGATGAAAGTAAATTATCCTGCAACTCTTGACGAGTAACCATTTATTAGTTATTGTAAAGATTGCAGAGCTGTTTCAGCATAACATTACCAAAATTCGTATAATAATTGAACAGGAGTAAGTTGCACGAAGTATATTAGTAGACTGTCTAAGTAAATTGAGTACAAATGAGCACTGCCACTTCGTATGATTCACACGGAAATAGCAAATAACGTGTCAGAATTGCGTTCAGAACAAGACCTTTGATATCAATGAGGATGGAAGAAAGAAATTTCACCATCAAAAATGGCCAAGAAATAGTCATACCGTTTCTTTGAAGACGTTTGAGCATTATAGCACACTGTTAATGCTAAGTTAATGAGTGTCGTATGGGTCAGTCAGTCAGTTGGTCTTGGGACGTCAGCGTCGAATTAATATTCATAGAGAAGTATATTTTCCTTTCTGTGGGAGTGGAATCAGCCAATATCCAACATTTAACAGCTAATGGCCTTTCAAAGGCAAGAACTATTCGAACGGAAACTGCCGTATATGACAACCTGATTGACTAACAACACACAAAAAACAACACATTCTCTTACACACACACACACACACACATATATATATATAATAATAATAGTAGCCAATATATATATATATATATATATATATATATATATATATATATATAAAATTTCAAGAGGATAGAATCCAGGTAGAACTCAATGTCCAGGACAGAGTAAGAATATAATAAAAAGCTCAAACACTAATATTCCATGGTTATAATTTATTACATTGGAATCGTAATCCCAATCCAATTCATCAGACCTACAAATTCAAAAAGAAATTGGAAAATATAACTCCGGGTATAAAAAATAACATTTTATTTAACTCCTCTCTTTAAAACTTCTCTCTGTTAAATTTTAATCCCCACTTTCACCTTTAGGCCTTCCTGTTCTTCTTTCTTCTGTTACACCCTCTCTCTAGAGCTTTCATACATTTCTCTCTCACATTTGTTTCCCACTCTCACATATACACTCTCACTAAAATTTTGTCTTTTATACCTGGAGTTATATTTTCCGATTTCTTTTTGAATTTGTAGGTCTGATGAATTGGATCGTGATTACGATTCCAATGTAATAAATCATAATCGTGGAATATTAGTGTTGGAGCCTTTTATATTATATATATATATATATATATATATATATATATATATATACAGACAGACAAACAGACACACAAACTGTCGCTTAAGTTCACATACATACAGGCACACACTTAAGCGTATATACACACACATTCATTCTTTCTCATATATAAGTACACATTTACCCATCTAACTACAGATGTGGCTCGACGTTGCTTAAATTCATTAATCGAACGAGAACCGGTGTATTCAGTCGAGGAAGCTATGATGTAAACAACGAGGGCGCCATAAGCAAACAAACAGGACACTTATACTCAGAAAGAGACAGCGACATCTCTGGGACATATAATGAGGAAAGAGGGTTTGGAAAATTTGACACTCGCAGGACATATAGAAAGCAATAGAAACAGAGAGGATCATCTAACTGACGAGCTTATGTGAGTGGATGGTCAAACGGAAAATGGGTTGGAGGAAGTTAAAAAGACAAAATTTACTAGGATCTACACAGGGTAGGAAGTTATGGAGAGCTATGATCATCCACGCACTTAAGGGACATGACACGTAGAAAACGATCGAAAATCTGAAAATGCATCGATAAAACATATTTAGTTTTCACCTTCTTTCTCGAAGCAGTCCTTTCATTTTTTTTTTCAAATTGGATCACAGAATGGACTGCTCATTTTCATTGCTGTAATGTCCGGACTGCATACGATTCTTACGTTGTTCCGTTTGTTATGCAACCCTTTGTAAGTTCCTATAAATACCTGTATAATATGCGGATATTTAATATAACTATTAAATAAAATGTAACGAAAGAGTGTCGGGTTCGTTCACTGCCTCAATCATGACATTAAGCATTCTGGGTCAAAGTATGGCTGGTTGACCGTATCCGGGTATGCGTATCTCAGTCACATTTAATATACCTTGTTCTAAGTGATACAAATTAATCCAGGTTTCTGGTTCCATCTTGATATCATTAAAATAATATTTTTGATTTCATATATATATATATATATATATATATATATATATATATATATATATATAATATGAATAGAGAGAAATGGAAAAACATATCTACGTTTCGTCCTCTGAGGGACATTATCAAAAGGAATTTAATTCTGAAACAAGTATTTATATACAAGATCAATAATGTCATTGGATTTTTCAAAATGTTTGATAAAGGGTGCTCATGAATATTCATCAGGTTAGCGGAAAAGTCAGGCAAGTTTATAGACGTAAGGTGATACAATTCAATGTCTAATAATCGAATTTTTACACACACACACACACACACACACACACACACACACACACACACACACACATATATATATATATATATATATATATATATATGTATATGTATATATATTATAGCTCCGAGTGAGTGTTACTGGTAATAAAACAGTGTTCGATGTAAAATAACAGACTTAAAATGTAAGGCTCAAGCACTAATATATATATATATATATATATATATATATATGTTTTTCGCACCATTTGCTACAACTCTCGCTTTCATGCACGGCATAAAACTCAGCGTTGTACCAAACGGTGAGCAATATATATGTATTTATTATTATTATTAGTAGTGTATATATATATATATATATATATATATATATACTCGACTCTCCTGTCGATTTCAACGTATGATGGTCAAGCAGATCAGTTACTAGGAACCGACTGCCCAACACAAGCACATGCGATTTGATTATAGTGGTGATGGTTTTGTGCAGAATCATCCACACTTTTTGAATACAGAGATCTGTTGCGCACCATGCCACAAGGCCCTCAAACGACCCTCCGAAGGATTTGAATTCAGAGTTGTCCATCAAGATCAACTGGAGGAAGAAGAAGAGGATTCATACCTTACCCAAGGGTATTAGCACGTAAGTGAATGTAATGGATCATATATATATATATATATATATATATATATATATACTTAACATTCTGTCATGAACTTCTTAACACTTCGTTGTCATTACCGATGCTAAGTGAACCATGACACTCCCAAAAATTAAACAGATAGCAATCTGAGCCGCTTTTGTGGCATAAAACAGAATTCTCCAATGCCAGTTGGATCCGAGACATATAATGGCACAGCTACGCGGTACACTATGTCAATTCTCCTTTTGAAAATTATACAATGTGAAACCGGTAAAGTCACCCTGAATAAATATTCTTAAAGGCTTAGGGTGTTCCAATAACGATTTTAAACTTAATTCCATTTAAAATCGGTCCAAGTTATTGGAACTCTCTCTCTCTCCCTCTCTTTCTCTCTCTCTCCCTCTCTCTCTCCCTCTCTCTCTTTCTCTATCTCCCTCTCTCTCTTTCTCTCTCCCTCTCTCTCTCTCTCTCTCTCTCTCTCTCTCTCTCTCTCTATATATATATATATAGAGAGAGAGAGAGAGAGAGAGTGAGAGAGGGAGAGAGCGATAATTATATATATATGTACATGTATATATATATATACATATATATACATATAATTATATATATATATATATATATATATATTATTTTATACAATTAGTATCGTTTTGTCATCACTGTTTAGACCGTTGTTTTTTTCAGTAACGATGAAGCTCTATGCTTAGAGCGTTTATTGGGATACAAATTCACTTTAGATCTCAAACGGAACACAGACATGCAAAGATACTGGACAAATGCTTGGCTCATTCTATCGCTCGGAGAAGTACGTAACTTCTGGCATGTTTTACATCCGCAAAAGTCAGATGTGACCAAAAATGCAGTATTGTTGCAATATCTGAGATGCTCAATCCTCACTCTCCAGCCTTGATAGAGTTCAAATTCGTTTAAGTCGTCTTGTTCCTTAACTATAACAACCCTGCCTTCACACCAGTCCAATTAATTACTTCTGTCTTTACAGTCATATTCTTTGAACGAATATATTGAACGTCCACAACCCCTTCGACATTTCATAAATAGAGAACATTAATCCCATAGAAAACAACTAATTTTTCCTAGAAAAATTACCAGGTAGCGAGCGGGCGAAGCTTACTAGTTCCATAATAAAAATGATATTAACTAACCGCTGTTGTTAGAATTTCTAGGATATACTGAAATCTATACGAGCCATATACGTGGTCTAATCAAGAAGTATTGAACTGTTGTTATGGTAACGGTGCTAAACTACGCAGAGTAAAGACAGATTGATTTTGAATTTTGTCGCACATATACACCAAGTTATAAATCTCTCGATCACTTCCGTTGTTTGGAAGAGAGTTGTGTAGAGTTGTGTAGAGTGTGTTCATCTTATCTCACTACAGAGTTTCCTTCAGTAACAGTGACTTGTTCGTCAGGTCCGACCAGCACCATATTCCGCAAGATCTTGCTCCTTGCAACTTTTTCCTCTTCAGAAATCAAATCCCACTCGAAAAGAATAAGATTTCAAGACGTCGAGGAAATTCAAGAGAATATGACTAGACATTCGCTTCCTATCCCACAAAAGAGTTGCAGGAATACTTTCATCAATGGAAACCTCGCTATATAAAGTAGCTTCAGAAGGAGATTGAATGCCGAATTTCAAAACTTCCTACAGAAGGTAGCGAAGGAGAGCGAGAAGAAGGGACTAAGCATAAACTACAAGAAGACAGAATGAATAGCCATCAGTAAAAGGATGAGCCTGAAATGCGATTCGCAGGTCGAAGCCACTAAAATCAATCAGGTGCGGAAGTTTAAATATCTGGGAAGTATTTTGACAGAGGACTATAAATGCGACACTGAGATCCGTAGACGTATTGGAATGGCCAAGGACACATTCCAAAAGCTGGTCAGAGTATTGCGAGACAGGAGGATTTCTTTGGTAACAAAGAAAAGAGTACTGAACTGTAACATGACATCTGTCCTCCTTTACGGCAGCGAATGTTGGACGGTCTCCTCAAAGATGAAGAAGAGACTCGAGGCGACGGAGATGTGGTTCTACAGAAGGATGCTGCTGAAATTCTTTAAGTGATGCGGTTCTTGTTATTTAATAAAATTCGGTGCTTGTGATTATGTAGCGCCAGTCTATGAGATCTGATGAAGGATAGACCTCTTTAAGAATGACAAAAGACTGAAAAAATACATAGATTTCTGAACAAGTTGGTCTTCATGCATGGTATTCATCTGTGCTTTGATATGACGAGGGTATTTAAGAATTATTATAAAAAAAATAATTAGCTAAGAAAACAAATATTATAAGATTAATTATTATTTAATAATTATATAAGATAAAATTTACTATAGTTAAGATTACTAGCCGAAAGTCTGTCTTGCAAACATTTTTATTAATAAATTAATTTATAAGTAAGAGGGTACAAATGAAAATATTTGAAATTGACAACTTTTTACTATTTCACTGAAACAGCCGTTAAACACTTCTGTCTTTCTTTCTGTCTTACATTTTCTCAGTGAAACCAAGTAGCGTCTCTGATATATCAGTTCCGTGTTTTCCGGTCAAAACGGAATAGATCATTATTTATGAGGTATTGGCAGCGTGTAACGGCCGTGCGAACTGGCGACGGAACTAATGAGAGTTTACTGGCGCGGAAATCGGGATTGGTAGTTGGTCACCAGTTTAGAAAAATGACCACTCTTAATTAAAAACCGGTTCTGCGAATGGCTAGTGACTCTTAAGACGTAATTGCTACAAAAACCACAACATTAACACCTACAGCGGTGATGTTGTGGTCCCATGCTCCACAAAAGAGTCTACGGGACCAACGTACATATATACAATTCTATAAGGTAACAATTATTACAATTATGATCATTATGTAGGTTGTAGCAGAAATACGCTCATTTATAACTCCACAGGAATACCACTGTCTTATTATATGGGGGGTATTTCTGGGGTGGGTATATGTAGGAGGTATTTCTGCCGCACCCTGTATAGTAAAAATATAATATAATAATTAGTTACATTATTTACACGCGGAAAATTGCCCTCATCTGTGTCGTTATTATCACAACGTTTCGGCCTTGTACACTCCGGCCTTCATCAGGCGCTTGTCGATCCGGGTAACTTTTAGGGAATTTCGAATTGAACAAATTATTTAATCTACTGATATTGTCCTTGTTTCGCTGTCCATTTGGGATATCACCGCCTGTTCTTAATTAGTAGTTCTCAATTACTGAAGCTATTTAGTACTTCTTAGTTACTGAAGTTATTTAGTACTGCCCAGTTATTGAACTTAGAAGATTATAAAGTTCGGTTGGTGTAATGGATAATGGCTAGAAAAGAGAATAGGCAATTCGAGTACGTTACATTCTATTTCGTGCGAATAACCCTTATAAAAGGCATGGGTCCATCACTTCTCCCCTCAGCTATTGCTTAAATAGTAAAACAAACAGATCTCTTCAGTCTTGGGTGGGAACCGGTCTAGGAGAAAGACATCACTAAATTCAAAACTGTATGCAGCCTTGGCCTAGCACAAATCATTCAGCTATCGGGAAGATAATGGTTTTATAATCTCTATGGTCCACCTACGACAGCGTCAATAATAATAATAATAATAATAATAATAATAATAATAATAATAATAATAATAATAATAAAGATAATAATGATGATGATGATAATGATAATATTGATGATGATGATAATGATGATGATGATGATGTTGTTGTTGTTGTTGTTATTATTATTATTACATCTTGGTAATATCTCATAAATAATGGACTCTTCTGTTTTGATCGAGAGCAAAGACAGGAATGCCATATCATTGAGGCTACCTGGTTCCAGTGAGAAAGAAAGAAAGAAAGAAAGAAAGAAAGAAAGAAAGAAAGAAAGAAAGAAAGAAAGAAAGAAAATCAAACAAAAGGACAAGAAGACCGAGGAGGCGTTAACGCTCTCATGTGCTTAACTTTGCTTCAGTCAAATGGAAAACTTGTCAATTTCACTTATTTTTATTTGTATCTCCTTATGCCTTTAAATAATAACCTGTATTCATACTTCTGATTGTTATTGCAATATTTTTTAAAATTATCAAGTTCAAATATTTAACGATGGAATAGGTGGGGGGGATCTTTTCTGTTAATTCACCCCAAATAATTTAAAGACTCTTATCGCAAATCTTAATTCACCCCAAGAAATTATAAATTTTAAATCAAAGTTTGTTTTTATTAAGTTTTTTTCACTCTTTTGAAATTATAAATTTTAAATCAAAATTTGTTAAGCTAGCATCGCAACAACTACTACCCTTAGAATAATAAAAAAAATACCAAAAATCAGGGAGTTATTCACATTTTGTAAGTTTTTTATTTAATTACAGTGTAACCCGGATATAAGAGAGTTGTCGGGACCGGAGAAGAAGTCTCTTATATCCGGGTTTGGTCTATTTTGTTTAGGTAAGTATGGGCTCTAATTTGGGACCAGAGAAAATCTCTCTTATATCCGGGTTTCTCTTATATCCGGGTCTCTTATATCCAGGTTACACTGTACTTACAAGGAAGTTTTTACAATTTAAAAAGAAAACTCTGTTTGGGTCTTGTTTATCGGGGTGAATGTGAAAGCAGACCCCACACTTAGAAATAGCGCACTTGGGGCGTTTGCAAAAATCAACCCAGCCGGAGTGCAACAGAAGGGCCTCGCTCTGGGAGAAATTGGCGTGAAGTTTAATAAATATAAATTCTCTTTATTTTGACGTGAATTTATGTTTTCGGGTGAATTAACAGAAAAGATCCAAATAGGGGAATTGCCGCGGGTATTTTGTAGTTGTGAAACAAGCAAGCAGCTTAGTCGTCATTAACTTAAGAATTAGGATTCATAAGGAAATTGAAATAGAAAAACTGTGAAATTATCACGGAGACTACTAATCATTATAAATTTCTTCTATGTATAACAATTTATTAAAAATGTCAAAGAATGAACGCATTTAGATTGCACAAGCTTGGCAGAAAGCTAATCTCTATCTATAAAAGACAGGATGTATGTGTGTGTGCGTGTGTGTAACGAATGTACGGCCGCAGTTTTCGACGGATTTGCACCAAAATTTACATGCACATGCTCCAAGTTAGCGGGAAGGCTAAGTTTTCATGTAGTTTGTGGCCATTTTGTACTGACCAGAGTGAGAGCCTATAGCTGGCTGTCACGAATAGGCAGGAAGATTCTACTGGCCAGCGTGAGAGCCAACAGCTGACTGACACAAATGTTAACTAGCATGCTAGCATGCAAAAAAAAAATCGATAGCTGCATTCGTTACAAGTGGGAAAAATTTAAATCTGCATGGCACTTTACTCCAATTGGCTCATTCGCTTGCTTAAACTCAACGTTGATCCTGAGTCCGCAGAACTGGGTTGGGTGTGAAAAAGTATTTGTTGTTAACATTCTTTTTTCATTCGGTTTTTCCAGTTACGAGTTCTTTTTTAAAGCTGATCGTTTTGTGTTCATTTTGTTTAGTTCGTTTTTCGTAACAGA